GGGTTCGATCCTCAGCACCACATACCAACAAAGATGTTGTGTCCGCCGAGAACTAAAAAATAAATATTAAAAATTCTCTCTCTCTCCTCTCTCACTCTCTCTTTAAAAAAAAAAAAAGAAGTTACTTTAAAACAGCACCTGTCAAACTCTAGTCTAGGTTCCCTTTGTTTACATTCATAATTATTAAGGATCCAAATTAGTTATTGTTTATGTAAATTACACTACTATTTATCATATTACAAATTAAACCAAAATTTTAGGTATTAATTTTATAGTCTACTTAAAAATAATACACCCATTATATGTTAATACAAATAAATTTTATGAAAAATCATTTCCAAAATAAATAAAAAACTAGTAATAAGAGTGACACTGTTTTACATCTTTCAAATTTCTTGTGTCTAGCATAAGAGAAGACAGCTAGATTCTCCTGTCTGCTTCAGCATTCAATCTGCTGTGATGGCATTTTGGTTAAAGTATATAAAGAAAATGTGCCTCACACAGACATGTAATTGGAAACAACAGTAGTATATTAATAGTTTTACAAGGCACTTATCTGGTCTACAAATTTCACTTCTACAAATTACCAAAAAGACAGTGAAACATATTACAATATCATGAATGTATACAACTAATTTAAATGATCACAAAGAAATCGTGTCGTTTTTCTTTACAATTGGTCAGTCACTTCATTTCAACAGGGATATACAAATAATTATTCCATCAACTAATTTTAGCAAGGGATATCTATGGTACAGATGCATTTAGTGTGGTTATGTTCAATGATTCATTGCTTAGTTTAGCTCATTAAGCACTACTGTCATCCTTTCAGTCAAAAGACTCAATTGTTACATCACCCAGCCACCTATTGTTATAAAATGCTTTAAAATTCACTAGCAAATATCACTGCTAAATATCCTTAATTCAATTTAAAATTTTAAAATTCATTTTTACTTGAAAAAGATCTGAATTGCCCAGGCAGGATGGCACACACTGTAATGTCAGCAGCTTGGGAGGCCAAGGCAGGAGGACCCCAAATTCAAAGTCAGTCTCAGCAACTCAGCAAGGCCCTAACAACTTAGCAGGAGTTTTCTCAAAAATAACCAAGTTCAACCAAATCAAAATTTCTAAGAGATGAATTTAGATATCAGTGTTTTGTAAAGCTCTCCAAAAATATCTCAAAGTGCAGCCAAGATTGAAAGCCACTGCTCTAAGGACATGGGTTCAAACTCTAACACTGGGTTATAACCAACTTTAAATTGATTAAGATATAATAGACCATCTTAACCAGTTACCTGTCTAACCTATAATTTGCTGCACCAAGTTACCAAGCTGCACCAAGACTTAAATTATAAGACTCTGACCACCTACCATCTTAATTTTACATATGAAACCCTACCCTAATTTTAACTTTTGTGTTTAAAATAAAATTTCCTAGATGCCAATTACACCATGTAATAATATCAAGGTGACACAACCTAAAATATCTTGTTCCTGAGAAACTGGAATTCAGTCATCACCAAATTACACATCTTTAAAATAAGAAAAAAAATATGTAAAAATTCTAAATCTAATTATCATGTTTGCGTTATCATGATACACACAATATCATACTCAAAGTAGCTCAAATAAATTATCTATACATATCTGGTGGGCAAAAAGCCTAAAAATTGGCAATTTAACAAAATTGTACAAAATGCTGCACTATCCTGGCCTAGCTCCTTTACCTTTCATTAGCATAGAAAACAAATCAATAAAACCATTTTTGTCCAACTAGTTTATACATGATTAAGGCTCACTTCAGTCACCATTCCTCATCATTTTAAGCAAAACAAAACTCTACCTAACAACACAATCTTCTAAGGAAAAAAGAAACCCAAATATGTACAACAAGTACTGAAATGGCCACTACAACATGCTTAAAGAGCCAGATGTGTTGGCACAGGCCTATAATCCCCGCAACTCAGGAGGCTGAAGCAGGAGGACCACAACTTCAAGGCCAGCCTCAGCAATTTAGCAAACCCTTTCTCAAAATAAAACTAAACAGGTAATGAAGCTCAGTGTAAAGTACCCCTGGGTTCAATCTCCAATACAAAAAAAAAGTCTAAAATCACTACATTAAAAATGGGGGGGGGGGCCATGAACAAAATAGAAATGAAAAAATAGATAAAGTTTAAACAACAGAAAAATAACATTTGTTCTCATCAAATTAGGCAAAATATTTTGGCAAAACTAAATATGCCTTTTAAATATAATGAACCCTGAAAATTCTATAGAGTTAACAGCCCAACTACAGGCCCCAGAAATTCAGTTCAATTAGAATAATGTCTAACAATGTCACTAACACTGGCTCAATGGGGGGA